CACACATACACATAAAGCATTTGATGCTGTGTAGCATACACACGTAGCACTTGACACCGCACAACACACCCACACACGTAGCGCTCAGTTCACTTAACGATACGCAAAACAATACACATAAATCCAAGCACACAGAGCTCTAGATGCTACGCAGCAACTTATGTCACATGCTGCCAGTATGTGTTGTCTGAGTTCGTACATTCAAAGAAAATTTCTCTCCATGTTAAACGAAGTATAATTATAATGCAAACTTTTGTGTATTTTACTGTACTATTCTGTCCTTGCAGCTTACTTCCTTCCCCTGTTCATATTTCATCCCAATGTCACTTTTTCTTCTGTCTATTTTTGCTGTGGATCCTCCGTATCCTATGGGTGGTTGGTGGGTGCTCTGGTGAGGTTTGCTCCTTCTTTCCTATCAAGCAGCTATCATCCTTATTAAATCTCTCCTCCCTCTTTTTTGTGTTTGTTACTCCCTTGTAACACCTATAATTTCGGCACTTATTATATGACCTAATTGTGTTTCAAGTGCAGTAAAACGCTCACTAAAGCTAGAGAACGTTTCTATAGGCTTGTTCTTCTTATCACACATTGTCCGTGGGTGGTTGGCGGGTGCTCTGGTGTTGTTTGCTTCTTCTTTCCTATCAAACATATATTGTCCTTATCTCCCCTCCTTTTTTATGTTTGTTACTCTCTTGTAACACCTCTACCTCTAATCTTCTGCTGGCGCTCATATGACCTTATGTAGTTGCGAGCGCCGTAAAAGCTCTACTAAAACAAACAAACACATTGTCCAATGTCTTGTCTTCCAGACCCAGCAACACATCAAGGTGTATAACCTGGTCAAACAGGAGCTCCACAAAAAGTTACAGGCCAACTGCAAGTACATCTCTTCTCTGGATGTCCATCATGGCGGTGAGTGAAACACATACACACTCACACATACTTCTTCTTCTTCTTCTTCATCTTTTTCTCCTCCTCCTCCTCCCCCCCCCCCTCCTGTTTTCTCTCCTTCTCTTTCCTTTTCTTTTTCTTCTTCTTCTTTTTGTTCTTGTTCTTGTTCTTTTTTCTTCTTCTTCTCAGATACATTTCCTACCACCTGAAAATGTTTGTTGTGTCCCCTGCGCTCATATGAGCTTATGCTGTTGCGAGCGCTGTAAAACACTTACCAAAAAAACCTCCTCAAAAACAACTGCAAGTAGTGTCCTCCCTTGATGCTGCAATACAGAGATATGAGGAATTCAATGAAATTATCCATTTTCCATTTTCTATCAACATATTAGTATTAGTACAAAGGCTAGTCTCAACTCAAGTATATTGTCAAATGTGGATCACCGTTACCAAAATGTATTGATTTCTAATTGAAGAGCGGTTTTCCAAAACTCAGCAAGTCTATTTTGACAAGCCCCTGGTTTCACCACGATGCCACACACATACAATGTCTGAAACAGCCGTTTCCACTGCTCGCAGCCGAAACTTCCGTATCCCGGACTCTGGCATTATTAAAATCGGAACCATTATTTTTACACTCATGTGCACATAATAATACATAAATTGGTCTTTTTTATATTATAAACGTGTGAGACATCCTGGTGAAATCAGACGCTTGTCAAACTTAACTGAGTTTTGGAAAACCACACTTCAATTTTGTACAGAATAGTTTATAGTTTAACCATCCCTCACCTAAAGGATTCCAGTGTCTTAGCAAATGCCTTTCAGTCAGGTTCTGTTGTTCTGGAGAGTACAGTTGGGCACAGATAACACGGATAAAACTAGAAATCACAGATAGCTCGTACAATTTGCCTTTCCCAAACTGATTTCTCTTTTATTTGTTAACCTGAATTATGAATGCGTCGAACACTTGTTTTGGGCTATCTGTTCCTGAATGTACATAGTTTCTGAAGGGTAGCAGATTTTCTTCTTGTGACGAATTGTGTATATCTGCTGATGATGCTGTGGTATTTATTTGTCATATATATGTCATGTTTATTCGTCATGCTGTTATTTGTGTTCTGTGTTTATTGTGTTGGTAAGTCAAATGTTTAATTGCCCCCCTGAGTGTATTAGTTGTGTTTATATGTTTTGTTATTTATTCATCATATGTCAATTGGTTGTGTGTATAATGGTGGTGTGTTTTGCTGTTGCAGGTGACAACATTCTGATAGGTAGCTACGACAGTCGACTGTGCTGGTTTGATCTGGACTTGTCCACAAAACCCTACCAGACACTCAAGTAAGTCAGCTTGGTAAAAGTGTACTTGAACCCTCCATTGAGATCTTTCTTGACCCACTATGCACACTTGAGGTTGCTATTCTCTATGGGACCATATATATGTAGGTTGCCGATTCTAACTCATTTTGTGAATGATGGACTGAAGTACACCTTTACTATCAACTCTCGGCAATTTTGCCATATATTGGAATATTGCCATAGTATTGCATTTTAGCCAGCTGGTCTTCTATTGTTCATTCTATTTCTAGTTCTAACTGAGAAAATTATTGTTTTATAAATGGGGTATGCTCCATCAGCCCAACTTAAATCATTTAGGAGGTGGGTTGCTTTTTACCATGCCTGGGAGGCCAACCCAAGCTTAATGGGATACAGCATATCGGCAGATAGATGGGGATGTTTTCAATTGAATGCCGGTAACTCACATCTCCTGGCTGGGGCAGTGAAGGGCCTAACCAATATACCAAAGGATTCCTTTTTTTTCCTTACCTACCAATGTATTTTTGTTTATTACCTGGGATAACAGATCTGTCTTGAGTCCTTGTTTGGAGCAAAAGTTAATTTGAAAAAAGTCTTGCTTTTCAGGGCTTTTTTTGCCTCAGCCACAGGGCAGGCAAGCAAACCTGCCACTCATCCAGATTTAATCAGGAGATCCAGATTGTTTGTTCAAATCTCAAGCATCCTGATTTTCCCGATTTTTTTCGTTACGTCTGTTGCGCTGGATTTTTCTGAAACTTACTCTGCCTTTTTCTCTGTCGCGGGAAGCGCCCATTAGACTTTTTGTCTGCAGGAACTCAGAGCCCTATTTTTCTGAAATATGGATGCCAGATTTAGTAGTTGACTTGCCCCAAGTTGTGTTGGATCTGTGTTCGCCTGTGTTATTTCAACTTTAACGGAAGTGGTATCGATTTGGCATTCTGACTTGGGACATTCTCAAGATCTACTTTTGCTTTTGTTTTTGTTGCCACTCAAAATTCTCAAAAGTGATTTCCTGATAACTGCTTCATTTGCGACGTCTAAAGGATCAATATTATTTGTAGTCTGCTGTTACTTTTATAACAAGCTTTGTCCGAGTCCTGGTTAGTCGGGCTGGTCATCAAGACCAGTCAGTAAAATTTCTTCGCATCTCATGTCATGACATGACTTTGGCTTGTGAGTTCCGCGAGTGTTAGGGACAACTTAAGTTCATGCACACTGATTGAAGTATCTTTCAGGACTTATATCGGGGAAGGGGGTTAGACACATGGACTAGGAGTAGGAGCGCTTGGTGTGATACTTCAGGATTTAGAAAAATAATCATATAAAACAGGGCATATACATACATGGATGTATTTATGGAAATCCCAGGAAAATATGGAAATCCCAGGAAAATATTTTAGTCAGCTTGGCAGGGTCCTTGGTGATTTGTCGTTGATCTTGATTTTTTTCATCAAATCCAGATTTTGTTCCCCTGAGATCTTTTGAGTTTTTAGATTTCTTAGAGTGGCAGTACTTATTTTCTTTGTTTGACTTGGAAATTTGTATGTATGTGCAGATTTGTAATTAGGAAGTAGTGCCTTGTCTGGTTGCATTTAATGTTTTTTAGAAGTGTCTCGATGTGTTGGCCATAAAGAGAACCGAACTAGTAAATAATTATGTTTCTCTTCGCCTGCGAGATTTTTAGCACAGTATACCATCTAGATGTTTGTTGACCATGAAGTGACCAGTGTCTGTTTCTCCACACAGGTATCACAAGAAGGCCGTGCGACAGGTGGCCTACCACACACAGTATCCGCTGTTTGCCTCGGCTTCAGACGATGGCTCCATCATTGTTAGTCATGGCAAGGTGTTCAGGTCAGTGAAACAATAGGTCTTTTTTTGTTCTAGCTACTGTTTTGTGTCGTGCACTTTCCTGAAGGAGATGATTTTGAACCTGTTTGACACATCCAGCCAATGTCAAGGACTAAAATGGTCCTCTTACAAAAGCGATCCTCTTGAACATTGTACTGTAGAATATAATGTAGAGATGGGAAATGTTTGTTTAGACAGTGGCTGTTTTGAACAGGTGGTCGTTGTAGTGTAGGGACCAGATTTGCAACTTTTTATTAGTACAGTGGGTGCCGCATTCAACGAGAAGTCGGCTCCAACGAGGCAATCCTTAATCCCCCATTTTTCCCTCTGTATCTCTTTGTAAATGTTCGTCGTCTCCAACAGGGTTTCAAACAGATCGAAGTCGCTTTCAACGAGGTCACGATAACCAAATAAAAGCAATTATCGGCCCCAAAAGCGATGGATTTTTCTCCTTTCTCTCCATCTCACGTGAAGCACAAGGCCCATCCTCGATTTCTAACACTAACACCTTGTATTGCTAGATCTAGAGTGCCTCCTAATATGGGCCCCAAAGCCAAGAGGATGGGCGAGGGTTAGGATGGGAGGGGGTGGGTGGGAACGCGATGCGGGCTGTGTGAAACTGGATGAACTCTGGATGGGTAGGTCTAGATCGAGACCTTCATTTTAAAAAATTTTCTATTCTCCCCCAGATCAGAAAATCCAAGCTCCCGCCTTTACTTTATGTAGATCTAAGCCTAGATGTGAGAGGGTATATTTCCACACGAGAAGTGTTCTGGCAAAAAATATTTAAAAATGCAGAAATTACTGTAACCTCCTTGCGGTCAGAGCACAGCTCAAACACGCGCACACTAATGCTATTTGAGATTTTCGTCATCAGGGGAACAGCTTTTTTAATTACTGGTATTGGTACATCTATAAAATATAATAACTTGTCTCCTTTCTTTACTCATTAGCCTTACTCACGTTCAACAAGAGGTCGGATCCAACAAGGACAACAAGCCGGTCCCGGCAACCTCGCTGAATGCGACTCCCACTGTACAACTGTTCTACTCTAATGAATTGTCGATAGCTTCACTATATTTCTGACCCAAGAGCACGATGAAAAGCTAATTGGGGCACAGTGCTGTGGTGTTTTATGAGTCTCATTAACGATATCGGCGGTGTTTTCATTTGGCCTTGGTCCTGTCATAGACAGTAAAAAAAAAAAGGTGTTTCCACCTTTTGAGTTAGTCTCCTTCAGACAGTCAAGTGATGTAGTGGTTAGGCGCTTTGCTGTTGCATGCTAAAGACAAGTTTGACGATTCCCGTTTTGGAAGAATTTTTATTGAGTATCTCTGTCCTTTTGCTGGGATGATATAATATCCCTCACTGTCCGGGTTGGCCCCTGATGTGCAGGGTTGTAGCAGCCCACCTTGTAATTGGTCTGACTCTGAATTTTGTGGATGGGGGCAAAAAACATCAACAGAGACAAAAAAAAGAGAGGAAAAGAATTAAACATGTCCGCAGAAGTTCCGATTTACAACTTGGAATGTCGCAGAAAATGTGATCAGTGCCCCACAATAAGCCAGTACTGTAGTCTCTCTCCCTCCGTCTCCAAACAACCGCCCCCTCTTCTCTTTATTGTTTGTGTTCAATGCCTTCATTGGGGTACATTTTATTTAAAAAAGGAGGAGGGCTGCTTTGACTTTGACCCTGCCTGTCAAAATCCCATCAGCAAGACACAGATGCGTGATTTAAAAGAAATTCCCCATGCAAGAATCAAACACACATGATCATCTGCATGCAATAGAGAAGAAACTAACCACTACACCACAGATGCTGGGTGTTGTCCCCCAGGCCCTCCCCTACCAAAGAAAAAGAAAAAGGAATGAAAAAAGTCGTTTTTTATTTATTTATTTTTCTTTCTATTCCCTCCAGTGACCAGCTTCTGAACCCTCTCATTGTGACAGTCAAGGTTCTCCGGGGCCACAAGACCACCAACCATCTGTCTGTCCTGGATTGCAAGTTCCACCCATTCCAGCCCTGGGTGTTCTCTAGTGGGGCAGACAGCACGATTCGATTGTATGTTTGATTGGAGGGGGCAAACACAGGACACACACACAAACACTGCACGATTAGAGTACCGGTAAACGTGGCATTGGGGCAAACACAGAACTCACAGAAATACTAGACTACACGATTAATAATATGTACGTGGTATTGAGGTAAACGCAGAGTACAGTGACACAGCTCTATTAGATTGTACATGTGATTATAGGGAGAAGCACAGAACACAATACGATCTGACTGTATGTTTTCTTTGGGACAAACGCAGAAATCACAGTACAATCATATTGTACACATGATTGGGAGAAACAAAGAGCATGCAAAATTCAGTACAATCAGGTTGTGTACATGATTGAGAGAAAAGACAGTGTCATCATAGCATTTCTGCACATGAATGCAAAGGGACTTTGAATAAATATTATATGCATTGTATTTTTATTGTGTTGCGTTACTGAAGTGCTTTTTAGTTTAGTATCAGCAGAAAAGGAATTGAAACAGTTTTGCCAAAAAAGAGGTTTTGGTACAGTGCTGCCTTTCTACAACGACCTTTGATATAACAACATCCTCTGTATAGCGACATGGTTTCCAGGTCCCAATTTTTTCATACACATTAGTAATATTTTTGGTTGCCTCTCTATAGCGACATTTTGTTCTGGTCCCGAGAGAGGCTGCTCTGCATTTAGTTTCCACTACACCTGGTGTTTTCACTGGTGGTGAGATAGGAAAAAATACACATGTAGATTACAGTTGAGCACAGATAACACGAAAACGGAAAACTCGAAATCATGGATAGCTCGTACAGTTTGCCATTTCCCTGACTGATATCTCTTTGATATTTCATTGTAGTCCGTTTATTTGAAGGGTGACCTTATTTAGGCCACATGTGGCCTAAATAAGCTAAACCCCCCTCCCTTACCGTATTTAGGCCACATATTACCCAAATAAGCTAATCCCACCTCCCTTCCTTACCTTATTTAGGCCTCATCATATGGTAGATTTCTTGAACTAACCATTGATTCGGAAGGTCGAGATTCTACTGATCTTTTTGTTTAGCGCAGGGGATTATTTCAAAATAGAGGATGATACTAAATGAAAAGTGGACCAAGGGTAAGAGTTCTTTGTGTGTGTGTGTGGGAGTGTGTGTGTGTATGTGTTTGTTTTGTGTGTGGTTGTGGTGAGAGAGAGATCTAGAGAGAGAGAGTAAATGTAATAGTGATGTGTGTGTGTGTGTGTGGGTAATGTGTGAATGTTATTGTGTGCATGAGTGTCTATCTCAGTTGTACGGTCCAAATGCACATTATTTTGTTGAGAATTTTACATAGAACTCAACTACAAAACACCTTTATAAAAAGTCACAGAAATATTCTTTTTGTGCTTATTGAGGTACAGTACAGGGTGTTTTTACCTGCAAGGATAATTGGACAAAATGGGCAATATCTTTATTGCTAATGGTCATATTTAGACAAATCCTATATCATTCTCTTTTTTTTTCTTAACTGTTCATAGTTATTAAAGAGTAAGCCAACTAGATCAAGGTAGTAATTTCGGATTCCTAATATTATGGGCATTCTTAAAATTTTTTTACTTGTTTTTAACGCTTTTCTCGACGTAAAACGGATTCCGTTAAAAAAACAACAATGACCTTATCTTTCTTTTTCAAAGTATTGTGCATACATTTGTGTGAAGCTGTATATTCTATGCTTTCAAGTACATGAAAAAAGCTAATAAAGTCAAGCAAAATGTTCTTCAGAGACATAGATGTATTAGTAGGCCCACTGGAACATTTTATAAACCGTGATGAAAAGATGACCAGAAAATAACAAAATTATATTATGATCTTCACTTGCACTTGCAATATTTTGGACAAATTATGGTCTACCTCATTATCTTTTTTTTTCACATTTTTCTTCCCTTCTATTCATGACAACTGGCATGTATTGTTTTCAGTTATTATCAAGGAAATGGATAGGCGGACCACGGGGTCTATCTAGCCAAAAGGATAGGTGGACCCCGGGGTCTACCTACAAAATGGTAGGTTGTAGGAGTCAGCGTAGTGAAATAAGTAGATCTACGTTTAATTAACTAAGGATCGGTGGACCCCGGGGTCAACATAGTGAAATAAGTAGACCTCAGTTTATTTTATAGTAGGACTGGCGGAGCCCGTGGTCAACGTAGTGAAATTATAAGTAGATCTAGGTTTAACTAAGGATTGGTGGACCCAGGGGTCAACGTAGTGAAATCAGTAGATCAGTTTCATAATTTATACGAATAACACAGCCAGTAGTTTTTATTTCGATTTATAAAAATTGCCTTGTTTTCAGAAGCAAATTTTAATAGTTTCAATTCTACTGAATCGATTTTCACGCGAATCAACCATTTCGATGATATGTCTTTTTCTTTTAAAAAGATGTAGGCCTGTCGGATGTGGCAGTGCGATTAACACTGAGTTGTTTAGACCCATCGAAACACGAGGTTTCGTGGCCGATCACAAAAGTCTATGGGGCTTATCGCGGCCGATTCGCCCTGCCGCTTGCACGTTCACTAAACTGCCTACTAGATAGAATCTACTACTAAAGTTTCTCTACACGGTCTTTGCTGCTACTACTACTACATGTACTAATACGAAACAGTACGAGAGAGTGCCACTCAGGCAAAGATAGTGTAACTTTGACTCAGCCACGTTGAGTACACACTTTTTATACCCCAAATTTGACCCGCAAGTCCATTCGGAGGATTTGACCTTTCACTTGACCAAAGTGTGCTAAAATGGTAGCCTAGCTTTTGCCCCTCCATGAAGGAAAAATCTGGCCCTCATTCAAACCATTGGGATTGAGCAAAATTTTGCGGATTGTGCTTTGGTCTTACAATATTCATTAATGATTATGGTTTATAAGTTGTACTGTTGTACACTGAGACAAAACTGTACTAAATGAGAAAGGTGCACCATTACGAAAGTGGAACGAACTCCGTTGCCAGAAAAGGGTAGTTTGAGTTTGAGCATGTGTGGCCTAAATAAGCCCACCCCCCCCCCCCTACCTTATTTAGGCCATATGTGGCCTAAATAAGCACTTCCTTATATTTGAATTCTGGACGTTGAACACATTTGTCCGCCCACAATGTGTCGGAGTTTTATCTGTGCTCGACTGTATTTCAGTTCTTAGTTCTAGATTGTTTTTCTTGTGCCCTTTTACCAAATGTTGTTTTGAAGGCTCCAGGCTCATGATATACAGGGAGTTCGCAAAGTTACTACTACTATTACATGTATATTAATACAGTCAGGGTGAAACTCCTCAGTTCCCAGTGATCTACATTCTGGTCGACTAAGTGGGAGTTGTTGGTGTACTTTTTTGTATCGTAGCAATTTTGTTGACATCCTTTACATTTACATCAATTCAGCAGACCTTGAGGATAAAATCCTTTGTTTTACAGTGGAAACCTGGTATAATAGGGATGGTGGGACCAGAGAAAAAGTCCTGTTACATCAGATCCCTGTTAAATCAGAAATGCAAGGGAAGTAAGCTTTTGTGGACTAATGTGAGGGCTAGATCAAAGTTTGCAGCACACCGCAGCCCTCTTTCGCTTCACCAACTTGCAGTGGCGTGGCTTGCTCCATCACTGTGTTACTCTCTCTCTCTCTCTCTCCTCTCTTACCTTTTACACATTGTTAATGAGCCTTTGTCCCTGCTATAACCGATTGGGCTGCTATGAGGCCCTGTTAGGCCGGTAACTTTTAATAGAGACAAAGAGTAGAAAAAAAACAGGGATTTTTACCGGGTCTCTATGGTTTCCACTGCATTAGTTTTACAGCACTTGCAACTTAATAAGGTCACATAGATGCCAAAGATTAGAAGTGTTACATTAAGTTACAAGAGAAAAATGAACACAAAAAAGGACAGAATAGGACGATAACCGATAACCGTTTGGTATGAAAGAAAAGGCAAACCACATCAGACCAACCACCCACGTAAAAATCCCGTTTAAATGTAGTTTAAAGCATGGTCCTTGCCTCTCCTGGCAAAGAGCCTAGTTCAAGTTCCCAGTTACTGTTAGATGGATGATGTCCTCGGGTTTATCCACTGTGACTACCCTGCTGGTCTTCCCATTGAAAGTGAAAGTCGAGAAACTTAAACTCTTAAATGTCCTGTGTGTGTCCTGTGACAGCGACAGTCGGACCATCGTGCTGATGGCACTGGTTCGAATACCAAATTGTGAGTTCTGTTCTGAACTTGTTTCAAGAGATCTTAATAAAAGCTCTCCCCTCATTCTTTGAATTCAGGGGTCTTGTGCGATCCTTTGCTTCATTTGTTTAAGGAAAAGAGGCACTTCAAGTTCAACTTCAACACAATAAATAATAGCCAGATTTATTTAGTTTTAGGAAAAGAAAAAGTGAGATGGATAGATACAACAGAGGGAAAGAAAAAAATGTAGGACCTACCAGTGGTGCCAAACAACCTGCTTGATCATTTGCACATTGAACACACACATGGGCACTAAATACTAAATAGGCCTACTTATGTAAAAAAAACAAACCTACATTTCCACCACTCAAGAGTGCAGAGACTATAAATAGCAAGGCCTTTCATCAACATCCATGCTGAGAAACCAACACAAAAGGTAGTTGATCAGACAAACATAAACATAAGCGGCAATAAGGCACAAACAAACCCGTTTCAAAATACAAAAGTGACGAAAAAAAGTAACAATTTTATTAACCATATAATAAACTCAATGCTTTGACAAGGGAACATGACATGCTAATAATAATCTCTCTCTCTCTCTCTTCCACATATATACATGCACACACTACACACGTGCGCACACACACATACACTTGTTTCACAATAAAAAAAAGTCACTTCATAATGACCAAACTTCAACATGCTCACACAAATTAAATGCATCCACACACACAAACACGTTTTACCTGACTAAAGTGACAAAAACGTCATCCTCACAACCAATTTTTGTGAAAAACAAAACGGTTGTGGTGTAGGTGTTTCACATCCCCATTGGCAGAATATGTATCAAGATCATTTAGGAGGTGGGCCGCTCTTCTAACCTTGCCTGTTAGTGTTAGATCACCCAGGCAAGAAAGATACACAATGTCCCAGCAGACAGATGAAAACTCAGAAAACACTCAATAATAAACTCCCCACATGAAAATAAAGAAAGTCATATCTGATCTTCTGCTTTTTGTTTTAGTAAAAGTTTTATGGTACTTGCAGGACAATTAGCTTGTATGTAAGTGCACAAAATTAGAGGTGTTACAAGAGAGTAACGAACACAAATATGGAGAAATACGGATGACATGCTTGACAGGAAAGAAGGAACAAAACACACCTGAGCACCTTCCAACCACTCACATATCTTCTTGGTACAACATCGAGACTCCTTCGTGCGACACTATAAAATCATAGCAAGTAAATATTCGTAACAATAACGAACTCAAAGAAGCTGCAATAAAAACTTATTTTGTGACAATAGATCTTACTAAAAGGAACATATTATTATTAACACAAAACTTCTATAAAAACTTTGCCCTCTTGGGCAATCAACTTCTTGCTGACTCAGCACCCAGGACATTATGACAACTAAAGAATGGCAACAAGACCCTGCTTACTCACTCAGAGTTTAAGCCTAAATTCCCACCGAGTTGAGAGTGAGGTTTCACTGAATACAAAGTGCTTCGTTGTATTTCAAAAGCTGCAGATCACCAAAAATAGAACAGAGAAGCCGTGTTGGGGTCAATGTCAAAGTCAAGGCCAGAGTTCACATGAAGTTACTCTCCTCCTCCTCCTGCTTCAGTTCCGTGTCACAACCAGAAAAACTCTCTACTCCTACTTCTGGTTGTACCGACGTAACATCTGTCAGTTTCGTCTCGCTCTCTTCAAGCTGTCCTCCAAACCCCCAGGAGTTATTTGTCATTACAAAAACAGGACTCGTCAACAGATTAGATGCGCTACCCTCCACAGGCATTGGGGAGCAATAGATAAAAGCTGGGGCAGTGACCATCTCTGGTTGGACAAATCCAATGTCTTCAGAAGAAAGAACCGTCTGAGCAGACCCCTCCTCTGACGACCCCACACAACCAACAAGGATCCCCGACTCCTCCACTAGGGATGTGTTTGAGACATACCGCTCCCCTGATGGAGGGGATGCACTGTCTTCTTGTTTTGGAAATAACATTGGAGTTGCACTGGCCTCGAAAGATTGCGGAACAGGAAGCAGATGCATGTCACATTGATTGACGAGATCAACATTTGCTTGAGAAAGGTCAAGATAGACATCAGCTGCTGAGAGAGACGACTGTGGTGGCACAGCTCCGGTAAAACTGTCCGTATGTCTGGGTTTGTAAACAATCCTTCCAGACATCCGTTTCCTCCTGGCTTCCTCCTTTGCCGGAGCATCTCGTCCCTGAGAACAGTTTTCTTCTCCTTCCCGTTTTGCCACACTTTCGCGCCCAACAACCTTTCTGCTCCCGTTTTTCGCTCCAGTAGCTGCGCCCAGGCCTTTTGGAGCAGATTCGGGCTGTCTCTTGGGTTTGCGCCCAGGTTTTCTTTGGAGATGTCCATGCTTGTTCACGATATAGCCATGGGGTATGAGTTTGTTGGCGGTTTTTGTAGGCTCCAGGAATGGATTGTCATTTGGCTGCTCTCCTGAAGTTCCCTTTGTCTTTGACCAATGGTTGTTAAGCTTTATTTCTCTCTTCTGATTTTTAGGAAACTTCAACTGCTTTTTTTTCATCACATGGTTCTTTTTTTGGGGTATATACCCTTCTGGGCCCTCATTAACTTTGCTCTTCTTGTACCTATTTATAGTTTTGTTACTGCAGTCTTGACTGAGACACTTCGGTTTGCGTCCACGTTTACGAATCAGGCGGCCATCTTTTGAAATGATATAACCTTCAGGAATCATCTGAGATTTGAGTCCCAAGCATTCACCTGACATCTCAGGCATTGAAGCTAGTTTCCCTGACTTTTTCTTGATATTTGCTGTCGATGATTCAGCCCTGGAGGTAACTAGTGCTGGTGTTTCGTTCACTTCTTTCAAGGACAAGGTATTGCTGTTTTCAAGGGAATGAGCGACCTGTTCAGCCGGCGATGGCAATGAATGAAGAGTCCTCATTTCTGTGGTACAATCTACTGTATCAGTATGACAAAACTGAAAGTCTGTTGCGCTTTGAGAGGATGATGACACTACCAATGAATGCATCAAATTTTCCTGATGTTCATATGAAGAACCAGGACCGGAGTGCTGTTGTGAGTGTGCTGTTGCCTCCTGAAAGCTGTGAGTACCGTGCTTACTCCTGTCACATACCCGGTCCTTCCCTCTCTGTTGTTTTATCTCACAGCACTCACTATGGGGAAACTCACCCCCAAGGAAGGAATTTTGCTTTGCCTGTTCCTTAAACAATGAACCTGCGAGTTTCATTCCATTCCCAAAAAGCTTCCTCCTATGTTTTGTACCCCCTCTCAAAGAATTTCCAGTAACAAATTTTGGCTTACGTCCTCGTTTTTTCACAACACGTCCAGCCTTAGTGAGAATGTGGCCAAATGGAATGTTGGGATTTCTTTCCCATTCTGCCCCCTTCTGCTTCTGTTCCTGCACTTGAAAATCTGGCCTCTTTTCTTTGTCTGCTAGGTTGTTGTGAGGATGTCTTTTCTTGATCTGGTTTGGCTTCTCACTGACAGAGGGAGACTCTTTTCTGACCATCCCGTCCTTTTTTCTCTGCCTGCTTGGGTACTTCGTCTTCTCAGTCTTTGGGTTCTGGCTCGCTACATCTGCATTTGCTTTCGGGCCTGGTTTACGGACTAAGTATCCATGTTTGTTGATGATGTAACCTTCAGGTATTTCACTGATCAGCGCAGTTATGAATGTTTTCTTCCTCTTTGGAGGTGGATTCTTTGTCTTTGTTTTGCTAACCTTTCTCTTCACAGAGCTCTTTTTAGCCACTACCTGTTTGGTTTTCTGAGCCATGAGCTGCATACGTCTTTCCACAACAGATGTGAGACTATGAGTTTCTGTAGAATACTCAGAGGGAGGAAGATTTAAAGCTGAAAACTGTGAGAACGGAATGTTCCATTGCTGCACGTAACTGTCTTCCTCTTTACAAAGGGGCACAGATTCAGCATTTACCTCAGAGTTCACCTGCATTTGAGGCAAAGAAGTCTCAGGCAAACAGCTCGGTGAGACACCAGTGGTACAACTCTGCAGCGAAATCTGCTGCTGAAAATATGTGTGGGACACAGGAGTATACTTTATCTCCTCTGATGTTGGAAAAGAGGAAGGTGCTGAGGGGTTAAGAGATTCAGTGAGAGCCATCCAGGTCTGGTCGGCTGATGAGCCTCTCTGTCTGACATTAGCATTGATAAGGCTTGGGGTGTGCGCATGGTCAGAGCTAAGCTTTGTTTTCTGGATACGTCTTTTCATAAGTCGACCAGTTTTTGTAATAAAGTATCCATCCGGTACTTCCTCAAGAGTGGAAGCCTTCGACATTTTAGGATTTCCTGAGGATTTTCTCTCGGTTCGTGGACAGCAGTGATCAAAGCCAATGCCATGAGGTGATGAGAAGGATTCTGTCTCAAAAACATCATCGCTGTTGAAATCACAGGGGTTGCCATCTCTGCCACTACTTTGGGACATTTTGATCAGCTTCATTGGAGTAGCGTCACTCTCAGTAGAATCAAACCCATTCCTTTTCCTACCCACACAGTTCTCGATCGCTGCCCCCTGACCCCCTGATTTCGCCCTGTCCTGAAGTGCAGCCAGTGTTGGGAGAATATTTCCCTTGGGTGTGACAGATTCTCTACCCACCAGGGAAGACGCGGACAGCATGCCATTATCACAGACGCCTTCTGAATGCCCATTTTTTCTTCTCCCACTGGCTTTCTTGATCAGTCGGCCGTGCTTAGCAGCCAATGATCTTTTGAGAGGTACATCATTCTTTTTCATGGACAAGTTCCCTTGAGCTGTCTTGAAAACTTTACAGACTGCCTTAGAACAGCCCTGACTGTGGGAGAGGCTCTCTTTACTTCCAGCCTCTGAGTTGACATTGTGATGTGTCTCAGCCCTGCACAGTTTCTCGGGCAAGCTGTCCTTCACATCTACTCTATTCTTTGACTTGTCAGGAGTTTTGGGGGTCCCTTTTGGCTTAGGTCCAGGTTTCCTCATCAGTCGACCATTTTTCCTCAGCACAAATCCCTCAGGAATTATCACATTATCCGCTGCATGTCCAATAACTGTAAATACTTCATCTTTTAACACGCTGTCATGAACTAATGTAGAACTCAATGGACCCGCTTCATTGCTTTCTTCTTTCAATGCTCCCTCATCACGTTTCTCAGACTTCCCTAGTTTTAGCTTCATGGCTTGAGCTGCGTTCTGTGAAGCGACTTCAAACTTCAGCTGAGAAAAGTCTGGTACTGAAGAAATGCCTGCATCATTGATCAGTTCAACGTTCCCATATCCCAGTAAACTCTCCCCAGTCACATCATCCTGTGGTCTCTGACAAGCAGGTGTCCCCACACCACTACCTCCTTCACATGACTTTGTCAGAGCTGACAATCCACAGGCTGGTTCACCCTTTGAAACTTTAGGTTTCGGACCAGGTTTTTTCATCAAATGTCCATTTTTCCTCAAAATATATCCCTCGGGTATGACCTGCTTTGGCATAGCTCCAGGACTGACATGGCAGACCGGAAGAGCCATTCCTCTCTCTGTACTACTTCTTCCTCCTGGAGATTCAACCGAGTTTAGCTGTGACTCAGATTTTTTCTCCAATTGCTCCCTTTTCTTCCCCTTACACCCTTCTAGTGCATTTTGTTTTAACACAAATCCAGGACTCTGAGACTCCACACAGCCAAAGTTTTGTGACTCAGAAGGAACATTTTGTTTTCGTTCTCTTTCACTTCCACATGCAGACACAGGGGAGAAAGATGGCTTCTGCTTTGGACTGGGTATCTTCATCAATCGTAAGTTTTTCCTTGTCACATACCTCTCAGGTAAAACAGACTTAGACACAGGGCTCACACTCTTTGAAGGGGACTGGGACTTCTGTTGTCTGGACTGACTGCCACTTTCAAGGGACACTGGTAATTTTTGCTTTGGCCCCGGCTTCTTCATCAAACGCCCATTCTTCCTAACAATATAACCATCGGGTATCTTGACAATCTCTCCATCTCTCCGACTGAAATAACTAGCAGGGAGGGAAGATGACAAAACATTCGTCATTTTCTCTGACAAATTCCCAGTTTGATCAGGTGACTCATGGTTAGACAAATCTGGTCTCAAATCCAGCAACTGGTCACTGTCTAGCCTGCTGCTCCTTTTGTCCATCTTCTGGTCAGCCACTGAGATATGAGCACCCCTCTTGACCTCTGTACCAATCTTCACAATGCTCCAGTCATCACGGAGACAGTAACCTACTTCTGCCAGACCTCGGGCTAAAGTATTGCACTCAATATTGAAGACATAACGAGGCCCTGGCTTCTGTTTGGTAAATTCGGAACCACCAGACTCCATGGGGTCGATATCACCACCACTTGGTGTTGAGGTGACATCAACCGATGGTTTTGTCACACTGTTTGGGGTGACATTCTCTGAAACACTGCCTAAACCACTGGACTCCATATGGTCAGATGTACAGACTTGATCACTGGTCAAAATGTCACCACTGGTATGGACATTAGTTATGTTCATTGGTGGCTTTGTCACACAGTCTGGAGCTACATTCTCTGAAAGATTTCCTAAACCACAAGACTCCACTAGGTCACATTCAGATGTACAGACTTGAGAACTGGTCAAAACGTTACTGTTGGTTTTTGTGTCAGTGACGCCCATTGATGGCTTTGTCACACAATCTGGAGCCATATTCTCTGAAAGATTACCTGGTATAGAATGAGAATGCAAATGTTGAGGAAGAAAACTCTCTGAGATATTGTTAAAAGCAAAAGAACTTGAAGAACAGTTAGAAGGAACATTTTCTGAAATGTCAAGAACAGCAGAGTCTGACATACAACTGACTGTCAAACTTTCCAATGTGTCACTAGATATGGCAGGACAGGATACACTATCAGAGGCAACATTCGCAGACATAGTGTCAGGATCTGGAACAATATTTGAGGCCGTTTTCTTGGAAACATCACATGGCGCCACAGGATTTAGCATGTGATGAGGAGTAACACTGTGCGAACTACTGACAGTCATGACAGGACTGGAAACAGAATGGGTAATGGTCTCCAAAGCATCACTCCGCTCATCATGCTCTGTGACATAACTTGGAGCAACACTCTTTGAAAAGTCCCTTTGCACAGCAGGATCTGAAAAACCAACTGAAGAAACACAAACACTCTCTGACAAACTGAGCTCCTCACTAGCTACACTAAGTGAAGAAGCAGCAGGCATAACAGGAGGAGCAGCTGAAGAGCTTTTTGACTCTAGAAAAGACGATTGGTGGCACATGACGACGTCCACTGACTCTATGCGCGGTGCTGTACTTTGTGCCTGAGGATGCACCAAATGGCTTTGTGAATGTTGGTCTTCTTCTTCTTGTTTAACTAAAGGCACAGGACGATACAGAGTTTGTGCTTCTGGTAGTCCAGCCATGCTGTCTGTCCCAGACTTGGCTACAGGTTCTGCACAACTAAAGGAGTAAGGCTCTTCTTGGACAACAGCTTCCAAGTTATATGTTATGGCTTTGTTGTCTGAACAGTCCGTTTTGTGTCCACCATCTTGAGCTGCTGTCAGAAGAGAGGTGGAGTCTTCTGACAAACACAAAGCCGAGTGCTCAATCTGTACTATGCTGTCTGTTGTCTCTTTGTCTGAAGCGGGCGTCTTGTTCATATGATGTGTAGAATGGTTTATCGAAGAATAGTTTATTGCCTTGAAAAAAGGAGGAGACCCAGAGGTTTGGCGAAGAGATAACTCACACTCATCCCCATTGTCTGCTGTATCAGGTATTTCCTCACATGTATTCTGAACACACAGCTCATGCTTGTGAGGGCCATGTCCATGGGCAGAACACACGCCACCATCTGGAAAAGCTGTGCACTCATTTAGAGTCTTACAGACAAAATTCAAATTATTAACTTTCTCAAAACATGCATCTTGCTGCTCTGAAATTTCTGCTGCCTTTTTTGATTTCTGCACAAGTGAATCTCTCTCTGAACTCTCTATATCCACAGATCTGATAGAGTCCTGAACATTAGTACCCATCTGACAGTCTTTTACAATAATTTTCTCTGAGGCACACAATGTATCTCTATTTAAATCACATCCCAATCCATCTCTCTCCAAACCATGAGCCACAGTTTCTTTCTCAGAATCCTGCCCACTCTCTACCTCTAAAGGTTCCTTCAAGTCTTGTTTCATTCCCTTCACTACCTGTACATCTACCGGCATGGATAAGTTAAAAGTGTCATCTGTGGTCTGTTTATCTTGGTGACTAACATTTACAACGGCTGAACAGAATTCACTCGACTCATCGTCTTCACCTCCTCCACCTGTAGAAGACAGCTCCTCTCCTCTGATAGCACACCAGTTTCGATCGAGGGAATAGCCATGACTGCTGAGAAAGTTCATAAGAGCATTACAATCCTCCTTTCCTTTAAGGGATGGTTCCAAGTCTTTGCTTGCTGTAAATATCTTCCTAAACTCTGCCATCCCTTCGGTAGACAGCATCTTGGGGTCACAGATATCATGCAGAACAAGAGAAGGAAGAAAAAATCCAGAACTTCTCTGTAAAGCTAGAGGTTTTCTCGAAACACTCAGTTCGTTGTTAACTTCTCTGCAGCTATCATTTTCTCTATGAGAACTGCACTTCCTGCGGTTGTATCTGCTTGACCATGGAGAGACCCCAGATTTTGAGATACTCTCGAGCTGACCTTTTGGGAAGGAAACATTTCTGACTTTAGCATTTGACCTTCCCTTTTGAGAATTGAACAATGACGACCCTATTTGAAACTTGCTCTTTTGTGGTCTACCCCGTTTGATCGTACGCTGCCTGGAGGCCACTTTTAAAGTTCCTGATGACAAGGTTTGAGCAGTGGAAGCATGGTCGTCCTCACGGACAAGTCTCGCCACAATTTTTGGCTTCTTCCTAACCATTTGTTCATATTGTTCTAGAGTGAGGATTTTCTTAGGCTGGGTGGGAAACGCACGGTGTGAAGGAGGATCTTTGCTACACTTTGAGCTCTCCGATTTGCTGTGAAACATAGCTGGTCGACCCTCACATCCCTTTGTGATGGGCACAGTGCATTCCACATCGAGACCATTATGCTTGCTCATCTCTGCCTGACAACGAGACACAGCAAACAGAAAAGACTCCTTTACGGAACAAACACTGTTCTCCACGAATGGACTGATGTCACAAAGACTAACGCTTGGGGTACTCATTCCCAGTTCTTTAAACTCACCCTTATTCTTGTCTACACTGCACACTCTCGACTCAGTTGAATTAGATTTAACACTACCTTTCTGAGCCTTCCTCCTCAAAGAGTCAATGAACACTTCTTTCATCATTTTACTCGATGAACTTTCAAACCTACGGACCTTTTGCTGTCTACACATAGGTCTCCTGACACGTTGAATGTCCCCATTATTAGCTGGGACTGATAGTGTATCCCTTGTGCTATGACTTCGGGAATGTGATGGCCCTACCATTATATCGCTACTCATTTCAACTGTCTTGAACAGTTCATCTTGTCCCAGTCTTGGCCTGACTTCCTCAAAGTTAAACTCACCAGCACCTTGCACACCAGTCCCAAAATACCCCTCTTGTACATCAGATTTCTTCCTCTCACCGTCTTTTTCTTCATTATCACCATCATTATGTGACAAATCATTTTCCGCAACGTCCAACTCCACTTTTATCTCAAAATTGGACAATTCATTATCATCTTTTATCTTGTCCTCATCTGTAGTCACATTTTCAGAATCACTAAGCGATGTGTCTACCTGTGACTTTGCAGTCAGTCTTCGACGCTTCTGTAAAGAACGACTTGGACGGTTTAGCCCTGTTTTGCCCCGCCCCCTACCTTTTTTCCTCCTGCCACAGCCAGCAGGCAAATCATACACACTTTTCACACGTTTTCGCTGCAAGTACTTCCTCATTTTTTCTGCTTCCTCTTCTGGCATTCTCTCTGGTTCCATGAACCACTTACGTGGCTTTTTGCCATTCTTAGCAAAATTAAACACTATCTGGGCATTTTTATGAGCCAGGCACACCCCGACACCCCCATAGTTTCCAATTCTCACCCAATCTGGTAACACCTTAGGCTTTATCACAGACACCCCATGATCCTTATTTTCTGTCATCCCTAATGGTGAATCACTCACCACAGCATTAGCACCATCCTTTGAAGAACCAGACGAACTGACAACAGCATCTGCACCATCTACTGAAGAACCATCAAAAAGGATCATACCATGTGCATTTGTTCCATTATGATCAGGCATATTAACAACAGAGGATTTAGTGTCCTTGCTTGGACTGACTTCACTCCCAGCGGTCTCACCAGTTCTACCATGACATCCCTCTCCTGCAGGATCACAGCTGGACTTACCACTATTTATTTGTTCATCCACGTTATTACTTTCACAATTGTTATCACTGGAGCAGCCTTTTGTGGAAATTGGTAGTGCGACTTCTCCAGCTCTTGTAGTTTCTTTTTCGCTGGAGTCTCTCAACTCTTCCTTTAGAGAACATTCTGGATCGTACACAAATTCTAAGACTTTCCTGTCTGTCACATCCTTATGACATCTTTCTATGTGTAAACGCATGGGGGTGAATGAAGCAAATGGTTTACGGCACAGCTCGCAGAAATACCGGTACTCCTTCAGATGCTCATGACCTACGTGGATCAGAAAATTCTTACGGGAGTCACTTCGGAGGCTGCAGATGGGGCAGATGAGGTTGCGGTCAGTGGAGTGGACCTCCATATGCTTGACCATGTTGCTTTTAGTGAAGAACAGGTGGCCGCAGATGCTGCACATGTACCTGCGCTGGGACCGGTGCTTGTAGACATGATTTTGGAAGCCGGTTCTGCTGTAGAGAATTTTGTGGCACACTGGGCACTCGTGCGGCTCCCCTCTCTCCAAGTGACTCTTGATGTGACTTCGAAGGCTGATTTTCAATTTGAACTTCCTCTGACACAGGTCACACTGAAACTTGGCTGTCTCAGAATGAGTCTTGATATGTTTCGTAAGGTCTGGTTTCCTCTTACATTTCTGAGTACATCCCGGGAAGGGGCATGGAAACATGCGAACATCAGAGTGAATGGTTTTGTGACTGTCAACTTCATACCTGGTCCTTGCTCTGAATCCGCACAGATTGCAACGATGAGGCTTTTGATCGCTGTGTGACCTCTGATGACTTTTAAGTGCTGATGGATGTTTGAATGTCAAGTCGCACTGTGAGCACTGGTATGGCCGATTCTCAGTGTGAGTACACTGAACATGCTTTGAGAGATTAGTCTTCCATTTACAGCTGAAGGGACACAGATGACATTTGAACTTTCGCTCAGAGCTATGAACACGTTGATGTTTGGTCAAGTCACCTTTGCAGCGTGACGCAAATGAGCACTCAGTACACTTGAAAGGCTTCTCTCCCTTGTGCTTTGCCTCATGAGTTCGAACTCTTTCCTCCTGACGGTGAGTGAAGTCACAGTAGTTACAACTGAACAGAACCCCATCATCATGGGCTGCTTCATGTCTTCTCAGGGTGGCTAGTCTCTTTGTTCGATATCCACACACTTTACATCTAGGGAAGAGAAAAAACAGTAATGTTCTGATGTGTACATATATACCGTTTTCATTAAAAAAAAAAAAAAATCACATTCAGCCTTTTCAAAACCATTGTGTTGATGGTCAAAAGAGCTTTCGCATCATTTCTACAGTTCAAACTTTCCCATAACATCATGCAAGCCTACTTCCTTTTCTTTTGAAAAAACAAACAAACCCCGAATGACTCTTTGAACCATTATTATTAATAAAAAATGACACAAGCACTTTCATAAAACTTCTTTATCAATCTGAGAGAACAGGGCCAGGCATCTAATGCTAGAATGTCATGAGATATCCCTACTCTAACTCACCCACTCACCCAGATAAAAATAGCAGAAAAGCTAGGAAAACATATAGGTTATTTATTGGAAATTTGAAATTCAAGAAGGCAGTATTTCTCTATAAATAGTAAAATTGTCAACGAAACCTGGCCTGTAAGGTCTAGCATTCATATCAACTCAAAACAAAATTTGTGCTTAAAGAAACATCTTGACCTTCATCAACTGCCATTCTCTCCCCCTGAACTTCCTTAACGAGAGGAGAGACTAGGGTTGACAGATATCAGTTCAAATCTGGCACCTATACTATAATACTTTAAGTAAGGAGAAGCAGGGGCACACAATAACAATAACGGTCATTTACTGAAAGGAAAAAGCAAGATAAACAAGACAATTCAGATAAAAAAGGAAAGACACTGCGCAAGACATACCAGTGGTACCCTCTAACCAACTGCTCCTCAGAGAGAGCATTTGTGTTAAAAGAGTTGAATGGAAAAAAAATGTGATGAGGGCTCTTAAATTAAAGTAACGAAATAATATAAAACACATAAGAAGGCCTATATCACATAACTGTTGCAAGAAACATTTGTACCTCGATTCAACCCTCTGTATCCTTCAGGGATGAGTAAAAACCCATTAAAATTTCAAAATTCTTCTTCTAACATTGATGAAGTCTACCATTGTTGCTAATAAGAGTGATTCAGTGCATATACGTTAACTTCCGCAGCTAGCCTACATACCTGAATGCGATGTTAGGGTTGGATTCATCTTTCAAGACAACATTTAGCATGTCCAGCAGAGGGTCACCCTTGATATACTCGTTGACAGCACCAGACCCCAGGTCCATGTCGTTAAGTACCTCATCAGGTTTTTTCATAGCGTCAGGGTCAACGCGGCTGCCTTTGTCTTTGTGGTTACTGCATCCTCCATCGTCAATCTCCTCGCTGTTATCATCATCATCGCTAGAGGACGACGAAGACGAAGTAGATTCAGGCTCAGACTTGACATGAGAGAGTAACTCTTCTGTGCTGCAGCTGGCCATATTCAGCTCATCAGTCCCACAGGAAGAGGCCATTTTCCGCAAAGATCACCTGATGACATTCCACCATACACCGTTACACATGACATCATAATACAGTCAAGTGCTCACATAGCTAACATACACAAAATGAAAACAGGCACATTGCAAACATTCTCTGGTCCTGGATTTTTTTGGGGATCTATTCTTGGTATTAAAAACATGTACATGGCAAAATCCATACATAACGAAAAGATTTCTGCATTCCACTGATTTCACCATGTGTATGCTAGACTGTATACAGTTAAACTGCCAGGCTTTTCCATTGGAATGTCAAATAGTACTATGTCTACTTAACTGATTCCATCTATGATTTCTCCAAGCTTTGGACTGAGTTATTTTCCCCCGTTCAATTTTTAACCTGGGATGCATTTATAGAATGCATTACTGTGAGGCTGTAAGCTACTCTACAAATGTATTGTCCAATACCAAATTGATGGGAATCAATAGAGGAATCTGATTATACTAATTTAAATTACCTATATTCTGATTGTATTGTATTTCCCTCAGACAAAAACAAATTTGAAATTTTTTTTCTTTCTCTATACATCTTTGAAAATTTCAACATAGATTTCTACCTCATTTTCTCAGCTTTACAAGTCCTTATAATCCATAGGAATGAACACAGAATTGTAGTGATATCACCCTAGCACACATTTAAGGAAGAAATTCACAAATTCAATAGAATATTTTTCACCTAAGTGCCTTTTTATTTACATATCCAATTTATGAAGAAATGAGAAAAAGCAAAAGAAATCCACACGAATGTCATACACTTTGTAAAACTAAAAAACAATATACATTATTTACAGAAACACTGGCACAGTCCATTAAGCATACATATTTACACTACAAAGTTTTTGTCAGTGTGGTAACGTTCAAAACAGTCCTTTGGATGAAGGTGCGGCTTCGTGGAGCAGCCGGAACAAAAAAAATTTGTCCGCATCCTTTTCCCTGTTCCTTTACTGCAATAGTGGCAAATTCTATCATTGGGAGAATGAGCCACTAAATGTTTGTTCCCCACGAATCTTTCGGGGAGACTGACAGCAGGTCTGCCTGGGTGCCGAGCCTCTTCTCGAGCTTTTTCCTCATCTGTCATTGTGAGGACCGAGAGCTTTGTCAAGCCTTTGACTAATTTCTTTTTGAAGTCCAAGAGGCTTATCCGCTTCTCGTGAGACAGGGAATACAAAACATGTGCATTGGTCTGGCACAGCTCCAGCATAAAATAAAACAGCTTTTTCCACCACTTCACGGTTTTTCTACTGAATAGGCCATAGTGTCCGGACTGCTGGTCGGCACGATCACAGCCGTTTATGTTCTCGTTATAAGACTGGATAACTGCTGGTTTCTCTGTTGTGTTTCGTCTTATTACCTGGGTAACCATTTGAACAGATGACCGTGTGGAACAGATCACCACAGGTTTATCTGCCTTTTTGTCCCACCATGCTGCACACAAAATATCAACATCCTTATGAGAGGTGAGATACCACTTACACTCGCCGAGCGAGGGATGGTTGGAGTGCAGTTGAGGAGGAAAGCCCTGACGATTCGAGTTGACGGTGCCGGTATAATAAAAGCCATTTGCCGATAGGGCACTAACAAGTTTCATGGAGGTATGGCACTTGTCAGCAAATATGTGATGGCCTTTTGAAAATGGCTCAAGGAGAGTTTCAAACACCTTGACTGCCTGACTTCCATCTTGATCACAGTCAGGTTTGTATGACATCTGTTCCCCAAAGTATGTCCATAAATTCAGTACATACCCTGTAGCACTATCGTACAGTCCAAGTATCTTGATATCGCACTTTTTCGGTTTTGATGGGTTGAACATTTTATATGCCCATCCACCTTGGTACCCAACAACCATTTCATCAAGTGCCAAGTTTTGGTAGGGGTAAAACGCTGTGCGGAAATTCATCAGAAGCATATTCATGAAGGGTTCGATTTTTGCTTTAGAATCTGCAACAGCCGACTCAGCACAATGAAGCATGGAGTGATATAAAGCTTCAAACCTGGGGCGAGCAAACATGTTATGATACCATTTCTTATAGTTTGGTGAGTCTTCAGAAACAAAATACTCCCGTATTGAGATGGCAGGGTCAATTCCCATCTCAACAATTACAGCGAAAAATTTGTACAGCTCAGACACTGTCACTTTGTACCAGTTGGCAAACAGAGACTGTCGACGTGGAGGGTTGTTCAGGGCACATCTGTGTTCTGCATAAGCATTGATTGAGTTCACCATGTATGTGATGACTTGTGCCGTGAACAAGACATTGAAGCAGTCAAGAGGACTGGAATCCACTGTCAGGTTTGCCTGCAGTCCTGATCCATTTGGGGGTGCAAATCTGAAATTGTTGTTGGTCTCTCCTGATGTAACCTAGGTATAAGAAAGAAGGGAAGCATATATACGAGAATTTAGATATGTAAATTTTGTCAAAGAGGGAAACAAAAAATACTTTTCAGTACATCACAATAATGATAAAAATAATTGACAGCATTTACAGAGCCAATATCCAGAAAAAAATTTATACTTTATGTGCTTGTTTTTTTAAAATTTTTATATCATCATGTAAGTTGTTAAGCTTCAAATTCTACTAAGACAAAGAGTAGTAAAAGTAAGACGTAAGACTAGGAAATATGGGTTAACCAATAAAGCCAATATTTATACTTTCCACTTCTTGTGTATGCTCAAAGGGCATGCCATTCCAAATAAGTCAAAGACCAAGCTCAAAACAGGATTATAATAATGTATCAGTAGTTCCTAAGCCTAAAAACAATTATCTCAAGGCCATTCTAAACATTGTGAATGTTAGAGTAAGAGGCCTCGCCCTTTAATTCTTAATAAAGTCTTTGCCTTTTGTCTGAAGTAGCAAAGGCTGACTATGGACTTAAAATCTTGTGAAAAGCCAGGACAAGACTTAGATCTTACCTCAGACCAGTCTGGTACATCAGTAGGCCTGGAGTCATCAATTGTTGGATCCATTCTCCTTTGTTTCATGGGTGGGGGTTGAACATTTTGGTTGTCCGATTCTGATCCTGAGAAGGATGGGGTATCAATATCTGACTCTTCCTCGCTCTCAGAGAGAGTGGTCTCAAAAAGCAAGCACGCTTGCTCAGCAGTGTGTCGTCGTGGTCTTGATGGTCCAGGCTCCATGTTGTTTACGTTACGTAGCAACTGTGTAGCGACAAAAAACGATGATTTCTGCTAGAATTTCACGGAGTTTTGATCCATTTTGGTGCTCAAAGATTGAGGTCAGGTTTGTTTACAAGTTCTATTTCCTTTCGACAACTTAAAAAGTAGGAACTATGTTAAAAAATGCACTTTCGTTTCTGATTTCGGTGAGCTGATCACAGCGGTCGAATGGCTATAGCAAGAAAACCTAGAGCCTTGTCCACGAGCGAATGGATGGAATCAGTTTACTCAAATTATTAAAACAAGCATCAGTTCAAGAGTTATTTCAAATAGATGTCGCACAGTCACCTCAAACCAGATTTGGCAGCTTGTGGAAAATGCAATAAAATGAGTTTCTGACAAGACGGGGTGACCATAACATTAACTGCCTACTGACCTTAAATCTTTTATAACATGCACCACCTACTTTTTCCTTTGATCAAATTGCATGATGTAGTATTAGATTCAGTAGGCCAATCAGCGGTAAGATGTAAAGGAAGGTGCAAAGTAGAGACTTTTAGTTTTAGTATGATTTAATTACTGAACACTAGACAACAGAACAGAAGACTATAGACTACTATTTCAATCAGTTCTATAAAATCATATCAGCACAATAAATCGTGTGACTGGCAACATAATTTGCTTTCAGGCCCAGGCACTGACTGTGTGGAGCAATATTCAGCTAGAAAGAAATATTTTCCTAGTACTAGCCTCTATAGACGTGGTCCAGGCCAAGGACATGAGAAAGGTCTGAAAAATGGGAGGATAAAGTGAGTTATTTTCGGGGGTAAGAGTAAGCAAAAAGGAAACCAAGTCCAAGTCCTCTGGCTCTGGACAGTCAAGACTCAACTAGAGCTAGACCCTTGCTAGTGCCATTGACAGCTCTAGCTTTCACGGGGGCCGTTCGCTGGCCAGGCCAGATTGAGGGTGCAAAGCGGCCATCGTGGTACAAGCCGACCGTGCCCGACTAGTCGCCTTAAAAACAAATCAGGCGACGAGACGGCGATCATCCCGACCCGACCAGACCCAAACCGATTCCCCAACTCCAATGGGCATCTTGTATAAGTCAAGAGTATCAGCTAGATTCTAGGCCTAGATTCTACTTCTCTGAAAGCCATAGATCTAGATTCAAAGTGACTATTCAGATTCCAGTCTGATTAGACAAAAATTATATTAGGACTCTGAATCGAGTCCGGCATGACGTCCGTTCCAACATCCGACCCTTGTTCTTAAATATTTCCAGCATTTATGGAAATTTTTTCCGATTATAATGATAAAAATTGAGCGGTGAGCTTTAAAATCCAGTTACTAGATCTATCTAAACTGGCCCTCCCTGCATCATTAGTATGAACAGAACAAACAAGTTGAGTTGACCTTGCCGGGGGGCAAAGTTAATTATGTTGACCAATGAGGTTGTGCGTAGCAATCACCCGCTCTCGGCTTGCTGGGGCAAAAGGTGTTGGGAAGAGGCCATAGCTGTCGATTTTGTGGGATGTGATTTAAAAAAAAAAAATTAGCTACAAAAAAACTATAACACACAATAAAATGAAATTAAATATATGCGGAAAAACAAATGGTGGCGGAAAGACACTGAGTTGTCGGTTACCGTGTACTTAGACACTGCCATTGGGCAATGAGAGTGCAGTCTTTTGACTTTTAACACAATTACAGTTCTTGTAGGTAATTCTAGTTCTACTTCTGGTTTTACGATGGTTGGCTCTATTCGGACCCAAGTCGGATTAGATTTTTTTTAGCTTTCTATACGGACTCGTTTATATCTCTATTCGGACTCGGGTCCGAAAAAAATGTTTTATTTATATTATTTGGACTCGGCTTCTAAGTGAGTTATGTGAGTGTATGGAGGTTACATACTATAACGGTCGCCGGGGGGATTTTACGAACCACAGAATTCTACACTGTGATAACAGAATTATAGAATTCTGTGCTGTGAACAAACGTTCTAGATCTATTACTACTGTTAGTGTTAGCCTAAAAGCGTGCAATTTTGTCGTGGGCAGTGGAGAGAGAGAAAGAGAGAGAGAGAGGAGTAGCGCGAGAACTTCCGGGCAAAACAAAATGGCGACCCGCGTAGTTCGGCTCGATTCGGAAAGTTAAATAGCCGTAGCATCTTTGTACACAACCAAATTAATTTAGTTTTCTTGTCTTGTTTAAAATCATTTTTTCACTTTGTTTTGGTCAATTTGATCGTCCACACCGATAGACAGTATTCAGAAAGAGAGAGAGAGAGAGAGGGGAGGAGTAGATCTTGCAAGAACTTCCGGGCAAAACAAAACAAAATGGCGACCCGCGTAGTTCGGCTCGATTCGAAAAGTGAAATAGCCATAGCATATTGTTTGAAGACGATCAAATTAGCTTACTTTTTTATGCTATAACGTAATTTTTTCTTAGCTTTTATCAATTTGATCATCCACACCGATAGACAGTATTCCAAAACGAAAATGAGGAAAAACAGGTCTTGTTTCACACCGGGTGAGAATAGCCTACGCTGGCAAGTCTCACCCGGGGTGAGAGGTAGATCGTATTTCTATTCTCACCCCGGGTTAGAATAGCCACTTCCATTCTAGATCTTCAGTGTTAATAAAGTTTTGTAATTATGTCTATGACCGTCAACAATACTCAAATACTTAGAAATCTAGATCTAGATCTATATCTAGATTCTAGATACAGTTAGATATAGATCTAAATATGAAATTGAGACAAACTAGCCTACTGGGTTTGTGTGGCAAACTGGGCCTGTCATCGTGTGTATGGTATGCACCTAGAATCTAGATCTAGATTTACCTTGCAATTCGTCTGCAACGTCTCATCCAGCTCATAAACGCAAGAATCGTTCTAGCGGAAAGTGATCAAAGCTTCAAGACTTCACAATTTCGAGTTTATCTGGACCAAAACTCAAACAGAGAAGCAAAACAAACGAGCCTTCACAAGGTACCGTAGCCTTTCTTCCCTGCCTTCCTTTCGTCCAGCCAGAAACCTTCCGCCTTCCGGTGCTTGCTTGACTGCTAGACCTGGCCTTTACAGAAACACGGTGAATGGTGTGCTGTGTTCGTTTGTGGTGTGCTTGGCTTCGTGTGTGCATGTGGCGTGTCCGTACACTGCGCCGTGCACAGTCACAAACAATCACCTCTCTTTGGTGTCACCTAAGTCCTTAGCAAGTAGTTGAGACTGAGAATCGAGAAGAGAGAGTGTGCAAGCGACCATCGATAGATTCTAGCCTAGATCTATCTAGATCAAAATAGTCAATAGTGGGAGAGCAGAGGGCGCTTGTTGTCAGATTATTTTCTTTAACCGTGCCGTGCAAGAAAGCATAAGCCGATAAGCATAGGCTAGCTTTTTATTTGCCGTTTTTCTTGTTGGCCATCGAAAACCGGGGGAAAAAATCTCAAGTTTTAATTTTGAACCTGTCCAAAGTCCAAAGTTCTCTTTTGTGTGCAGCCATAAGTAGGCAAGCCACTCACCCACACGCACACACACACACATGCACAGACAGACAGATACACACACACACACACACACACACACACACACACATTAAGGTATCCAAGGAGGGGGGAGGGGAGGAATTT